GGGGGATGCGGCCGCGTTCGGCTTGGCGCGCACGCCTGGCAGGTCGCTCAAACCAGATGTTGTCATCTTCGTACTTAAGCAATGATCCGACCCTTTTTTTTTTCCTTGTGATCAAAATGTATTCATTTAAGTTGCTGGTTTTGTTAGCCTTATTGCTGTAAAGCATCTGATGGCCTTCGGGAATGGCATTTAAAAACAATTCTGTGACAGTATTGAACAAGTGTGACAGAACCAGTATTCGTTTCTGTCCGTATTTTTACGAATTTAGCACAGAAATAATAAGGAGCTAGATACTGCGACTGACTGCTTAAAAATCAAGATGTGAGATCAGTGAGCGCAGGAACAGGAATTCTGGAAAAGCCCATTCAAAGATTCTCTGCTTACTTTACTTTGGTTTCCAAAGGAGAGTGTAGGCAGCCAACAGCAGCAACAAAAAAGGCCACTTTACCACAGAGCTACCTAGATTTTAGTTTCTGGTCATAATATTGTAGTGAAGGTGTTTATAAATTATTCTCTCTATCACTTGAGGAATTGCTTATGAAGGATGACTTTTTTGCAAGAAAGCATGCGGGATTTTTAGAGTAAAAATTTAAGTGCTTTTAGTGTTAGGTATTGATGCTTTTGTCATTAGAGGGGGAAAAAATAGAAAAGCTCTTCTGAATCATACTCTCTTTAATTTTTTTTCTAATACTGCCTGCTGTTGAAAGAAGTAGTGCAAACTGTTTTTCTAATCTAAAACTTCCATGTGCTTTCTGCAGGATTCATATAGAAAGCAGGTTGTTATTGATGGAGAGACGTGTTTGTTAGACATTCTGGACACTGCTGGACAGGAAGAGTATAGTGCCATGCGTGACCAGTACATGAGAACTGGGGAAGGATTCCTTTGTGTTTTTGCCATTAACAACAGTAAATCATTTGCTGATATCAACCTTTACAGGTATGATCTAGTTCTTTACCACTAGGGAGAAACGACTGGAGAGGCATCAAGTATGTTAGGCTTTGAATCCAGTGGAGACTAAATGCTAGAAAAACATTAAATCTCTCACTGTTTTGGAAAGTTTTCCAAGGTTTTTGCATTCTGAGTCTATACGTAATAACTCTCTGGAGAATGGAACAATTATCCAGGTTGTGTTAATCAAACGCTACTTATTCTTCAGAGCGTACAGAAAAAGAGATGTAAGAAAGCGGGTAGCAGGAAAGGGAAAGCACATCAAAGTGGACTTATTCATGGACTTGAGATGGAGTATGCTAGTTATTAAAAATACTGTTGGATGTTAGAACCTCCAAGGTCCTGTCCAGACCTGAGACATACTTCTGTAGTACAGAGCTGTCTAGATACTGAACTAAACCAGCTTTTATATGTAGAAAATAGTTCCTATCTTTTTTTTTTTTTTTAAGAGAACAGATAAAGAGAGTAAAAGATTCAGATGATGTGCCAATGGTGCTAGTGGGAAATAAGTGTGATTTACCCACAAGAACAGTAGACACAAAACAAGCTCAAGAATTAGCAAAAAGCTATGGAATCCCCTTCATAGAGACATCTGCTAAAACAAGACAGGTAAGATGCTTCTATTCTTGGTCTGACTTCTTCCTGTGCTGTAAATGCTGAATTGTTTAACTCTTTCCTGTATACTTTTTTCTTACCTGCAGGAGTAAGCACTTTTAAATCCATTTCCAATTTTAGCTTTTGATTTCCACACTTACTCCTAGTTTGTAAGAGTTCTGTTTTTATCTCTGGACTGCATCAGTATACAAATGACTTCACTCTTGCACCATTTTTTTTTCTTAAGCGATACTTGTGTGAAGAAGAGAGCTTCATCTGCTCTTGCTGAGAAAAAAAATCAGACTGTGCAGTTAGCCGTACCAGACCCGTCCAGTTTTCTTGGCTTTTTATTGAAGGCCAATTATGAGATTGTTTACAGAAAGTACCTTCTAGATTTAACTGAAGGACTTCTTCAGAGTTGTATTGAATCTGTGATCCTGTCCAGTCAGACTGTGTTTTACCTGTATCAATGTGGAATGAAGCAGGAAAGGTACAATTGTTAAGCAGTAGCCAAAAAATCGAATTCTGAAATGGGAATATGGCAAGTAGCAGCTTGTTTCCTGCACAGGATTTCTCTATGGTTACAGTTAACCTTGTCTCTTCTAATGACTGCTACCTTGGATATTTGCCTCAGGGGAAGAGTTAAGAGTGTAAGTGGAGAGGTTTGGACATAGGTGCTAGTTCCCTGCTCTGATGACCTGTGGGATAAGTTGGCTACTACTCTTTCTGTAAAAGTATGTGTTTTAAATACGTCAAGGGATCCTGTGGTGGAAAGAACAGTGATCTCAAAGGAGTCAGGAAAGAAAATACTTTACCTGGATCATTTGCATTCAGGGTGTGGAAGATGCTTTTTACACACTGGTGAGAGAGATCCGGCAGTACCGGATGAAAAAGCTCAACAGCAACGAAGATGGGAATCAAGGCTGTATGGGATTGTCTTGTATCATGATGTGATAAGGTGAGCTATGATTTAAGTCTCTGGTTTCTTGTCTGCATGTCTTTAAGTTGGTGATAAGCATGGCTTAGTAATACTGGTTGGTGTAGGTTTTTTTCTGTTGTACAGCTTATTGATATCCTAGACATTTAGATCTTACAATTAATTACTTCTTTCCCCCCCCCCCTTTTTTTTTTTAAGTCTGTAGAGAGCAAAGCATAAGAAAGTAAAGTCTATTCATAGCCATCTTTTGGCTGTAGCCTATGCATTTCTATTCAATTAATTATTGTATGATTCTCTGTCAGTGCCTCTTTCCTTTGAGAAACCTGTTTTTCCCCTCTCTATTTGAATGTGTGTGATTTCTGTCTTGTACACAAGAATCGCCTGAAGTAGAAAGTGTGTGTGCGCAATTCTGCAGTCACTATTTGCTGAGATTGATTGACTTCTGCGCAGCTTATCTTGAACTGTATTCCTCTGGAATATTCAGTGTTCGAAGATGGACCAAGTAACATAAAGCTAGTGGTGAAATGTATGAATGTCTCAACTGAGTGAGATCTTCAACTGTTACCTAAAATGTGCTGTATCACTATAAAAACAGGTAGACCAGTCCAGCACTTGTACTACGTTATTGTACCGTGCATCCATCACAAAGTTGTACAGCAGCTAATTATGGATGCCTTTCTGTTCCAGATGCCAAGAAGACCTGGTTCAGATGGAGCTGATGGACGAATCTTGATGCCACTGTATTGCGTCTTGTGATGATGCCCTGCAGTATTTTGGTACCAGTTCATTAGTACAAGGTCCTTTTCTGTGCTCCATCTGAAGAGAACATCTCTGGCATATACCTCCTTGCTCAGCTAATAGAGCAGTCACATCTCTTGATGCACTGGGATTCTCTTCTGTTTTATCTGGGTTTGTTCAAGAAGAAAACCAGTCACAAGAAAAGTGAATTTTAGAGACTAAATGCTGTGAAAAAGATGACACTTTACCTCTAGAGTAAAAACTAGACATGATTTTTGTCCCCATTGTATTGGATTCAGATTTGCGGTGCTGTCTGAGAAGTGGCCCTAATCATTCTCGGCAGGTAATATCAGAGATGATTTTGCCACTATGAATGCCTCTGTCACGTATCGGATTAGTATCTGTTGTCTATACACCTACACAGCATATCGGCAACATCTGCGTTGTGCCAAGAGTACCACTTACCTACTCCTCTATTTTCGGTAATAAAAATGAGATATCTTTGCTATTTAAGTGCCTGTTTGCTAAGAAGATCTGGAGTTGTACCCTCTTCTGTCAGGCTAAGGGAAGCCCCAAGGACTGGGATTTTTTGGAAGCTCGTTGTCTTAAGCAGACAAGCCTTGAGAAGAATGTGGGTGATCTCTTTGCATAACAGGAGAATGTGTAGGCTGGAAAATTCAGTTTGTAAGACCCTTGAACAAGGGAACACAATGTACTGCATCCATTTTTGACTCTCTTTGTATGTGAAATTGTGTATTCTGTATTGTTTTTCTACAGCATTCGGATCTCCTCCTCTTCCAAGTTGGACCAAATTAGACAGCTGCTCGTTTTAACATTGACTGCCAATGTGTCTGGGCGGCTTCTCGATAGCTAATCTAGTAACTGGAGGTTAATTAATTTGGACAACTGTTGTTCAGCTCTGTCCTTAACTTGCAAATTATTTTTTTCTGAATTATTTTGTCATATCACCAGGCTTTAAATATAGTCTCTTCGAAATAGTTCTCTGTAAAATATAGTTGGAGAGTCTCCTTATCAGGGAAGGAGTCTGGGATTTCAGATTTATTGTAACTGGTGTAATGGTTGCCACAGACTTCGTATGTTCAGGCTGAGGGGAGGAGGGCAATGAACTGTAACAGAAAACTGAGCTGGTTCTGGTTGCAGCATCCTTGCAAAACGAGGAAGGAGTGAGTTCAGTGATGAATACATAGGTGTATGATCTTCTGATAGGAATCTGGGGCTTGTTCTAACAGCCTCAAAGTGTAAGAGAATTATTGCATATGTCATGTGAGTTGTTCCTAGAGCAAAACGCTGTCATCTCATATAATTGGGACATACAAGTGTGGCCACTGTTGCAAAATCTACTGCTATTTCTTGGAGTACATGTCCTTCCCTGGTCCGTGTGTCACTGATACTGGATTCTGTCCTGTGGCCTCAGACAGTGCATCCCACAGCAAAGGCAAATTCCCATTACTATCTGACGGAGCAGTGCTTGGGGATGGGGGAGTAATGAGCCTTGAGGCAACAGGGGGTGTGTTAGGCCAGTCTGCCAACCCAGCAGGAGCGTGGAGATCGCCAAAGGCTTAATTTCAGTTTGTTGGTGTCAGATTCATACGTCTTAATATGGAGTTTCCAGTTTCCGAAGGAAATTAGATATCAGTAAATATTGAGAGAAGAAATTGTTCCTTTTAATTTTGCTTCCTTCACTATTTAATCCTCTTCTTGTGGAGTGCAGGGTATCAAGCTATATCACCTTTTTACTCTTAATACTCCTAATACATAGTTTTGCAAGTTATTTTAGCTTTGACTGATAAGATACAGATATGAATTGAAATATTTTTACATGGAACATGATTTACCAGCAGCATACACAGTGGTGGGCAGCATTATAGAGAGCATTTGACCTGAGTTGAGTTCATTTGCAGATGATCCCATGCCTGCCAGTTAAACATTTGGCATAATCATCACAATTGAAATTTGGGCTGTCGTGCCTATAAACTGCAAGCAGTGTTTGTTTGTTTGTTTGTTTGTTTGTTTGTTTGTTTTTCCTTGTGTGAGAAGATCAGTTATTTGTGAAAGCATTCTTTGAGCCTTGTGGCGGGGGCTGACTGACCGTTCCTAAAGGGAGTTGTGTGACATACTGTTGTCCACTTAATGAAATTACATATGGAAAGGGTATTAAGAGAGAACTTTTAGGATTTGCATCTGGTCACATATATTCAGTATTTTGGAAAGACCCCAGTGTGGAGTTCTTGTATGCCAGGATGGTGAGTTCTTATCACATGGGCTCATGTATGTTTTTTGGATTATTTTGGAAAACTAAGAGTTTCTTTCCTGGCAGGCAGGATTCCAGTGTTCAGAATATGACTGGTTGGTGCCCATGGCCCTGGGAAATCTTTTGCATCTGGCATTTGTTGTCTAAAGGTTGTATGGGCAAGTATGAACATTAAATACTCCTTTTGGCTGGAGGTTCATCGTAACTGTGCGAAAGGGCCTCCAAGAATCATCTCTCTGCATTGTGTAGTATGTTCTGGGTGTCATTACAAAAGTACTAGCTATAACCCCAAAGTTGGGAATACTCCAATTTATATGGGAGCTGGCAAATGCATCTACTTTCTGTTGGGCTACAGAAAATCTTAAAAGGGAAGGAGACCTAGTAAGGGTTGATCAGTATGTATTTCACCATTAAAACGGTAGAGGAGAATGCACCAGCTTTTAGGATGCTCCAGAGCTAACCAGTGCAGGTGATACTCCCGTCTGTGTTATTTTAGGGTCATATCAGCAAGTGATAAAACATCAGGGTGTTATACCAGGCATAAGCATGAAGTAATTGGTTGTGCTGTGTCTCCTGTTACATTTAAGAGTAATTATGGTCAGTGAAGGTCACTGGCTGCACCTAATGCATATGCATCACATGATGCATCAGGGCAAAAGTCAGGTCTTAGGAGCCATCCTTTCATGGGTTTGGTTCTGAGTGTAAGGATTTATGAACAGAATATCCTAAACACTTTCTGGAGTTCTGTAGTGTTGCAGTGGCGAGTGCTACCCTCACTGTTTAGTTCAGCCCAGTAGGTGAATGCAGATATTCCAAAGTGCAAATGTTTGGGGCGCACTTGGCATTACCTGCTACTAGAGACCCGTGTTTACGGGGCTGTGTTCTTTCCCACTCCAGGATCTGATGCAACAGTTTTAATAAAGGAAAACCTATGTTTGAGCAGAAGCATGGACCAGACAGTTTGCTGGTCCAGCAGAGAGGTTTCAGTGCTAACAGAAAAGGTCTTGTGTCCTGAGTCCACACCTGGTCTTGCAGCTGCCATCTGTGACAGAGCCTGGTGAGAGTAGGAGGAAAACTTGTGCAGTCTCTTCCTGCCTTTGTGGGCAGTTCTGATGCTCCTTATTTCTATCAGCTGGGCCCTTTCTAGCCATCTTATCGAGCATGACCTGAAAGTCAGTGGGGACATTAAAAGGACTTAAATTTCTTCAGGCTAAGTCAGGTTCGTTATACACGTATCAGGTTGGCAAAGTCTTCCCTGTGTGTTCCTGACCTGCAGGTGCTCCAGATTCAATCATCTTCATATCAGTGTTGACACCAGGAGGTACGACAGGAACACCTACATTCTCATGTGCTGTTTTCCTTTATTCCTCTCTGTTGTATGATTCTCCCACGCAGGATGCTCTTTTAAAACAGCAGCAGATAGCTGTCTCAGCTTGTCTGATCAGAGCTGTTCTGATCTCTTAGAAGTGTCCCTGGGATAATAACATAATAACAGTTTTACGGGTCGCTTGGGGTCTGTTAATGGTGTTGAGTTGGACTTGGGAAAGCAGCGTGTTTACTGGAAATGACGTGAGCGTGATGCACTTATTTAATCAGGGCTTTGCTAGCTGTGATTTTCAGGTATAAAATCCAACTGGCTTCTTTAAAAATACTTAACACTGGATTTGCTTGTGGATGACTGGCCAAATGTTGCCCTGTTTTTTGCTGGCAACTCCTAGAGCACTGAGCACTGGAAGCACGAAACCCCAAGAATTTTTGGAGAGATTATTTAGAAGATAAGCACAAAAGTTTTTGCACAAGACAGGTTCCTGGAAAAAGTGGTTTAGAACTACCAACACAACACTTTGTTAGTGCCAGACTAGTTTCACTATCCTGACTAAGAAGAATGGGTGTAAATAACCTGACTGAGGCAAAATATTTAAAAAAAGTTAAAACACTTGTTCAGAAATTACAGGTGCAAAAACTGAAAGAAATGTTTCTGTTTTTATGGACTGAGAACAGCTATTTAGCCAGATAGTGTAACACTGTAGCTTGTTCCTGTTAGTGTCCCCACTCCATGATCTTGTTTAAACAATGGTGCTCGGATTTTGTTCTGCTGTCATCAGTAGGGCTTCAGATAGTAACCACGATGCTCAAGTTATCACTGCTTTTACATATAGTTCAATTACTTAGAATTGGATTTCAAGCAATTTCAGGCCTATGGGGGAAGGGAATGAAAGTTTAAATTATATTCTAATTCTCTACTTGGTCCTTCTTTATTCCCAAGCCTGTTTGTGTATAGCGGTCAGGATTGTTGGGAAGTGTTAGGATCTGGACTTTGCATCCAAGGGCTAAGTTGTTGTTACTTTGTAAAATTATTTGCTTTCAATAATGCATCTTTTTTTTTGTTTGAATTTAAAATAAATTATTTTGCTTCTTAAATCACTTTTTTAAAGAATAAACTCTGTGAATTCTTTAGTTGTTTCTTTTGTGGTAGTGCTCTGAGGGAGGGATCCACAACTGGCTTACAGAATGCTTATCAGTGCTATCTGTGCTTTCTCAACTGGCTCTGGATTTACTCAAATTGTTGATTCTGTAATGCAGCATGAATGGCTATATCATGTGTTTGCTGTAGCACCAGTAACAGGTGAAATCTGCTTTAAGACACACCATAGGTTTGGTTCATAGTCTGAGTTTAATGACTTCACCAGTCTGTGTTGTCACATGCATCTTGTGTTACTGTTAAGTCTTTATATTTACAGAGAGGTCTCATAATTTTTTTGTTGACTTTGTCCTTTGAAAGCACACTTTCTGAGAGCAAAAAGGGGGGAAATCTCTTTACTCAGTGTTCCAGGAGTGAAATCGGCTATAAATTCTTCTTGTGTCCAAATCATGCTCTCCGTTAGGCTTTAAAATTGTTTAGTTCAGTCTTAAATAATTTGATGTTGGCTTTTCTCTTGTGTAAGGCAATGCTGTGTTTGACCACTATGCTTAAGTGTGTTTCTCCTAATACATTGTGTCAGACCTCTGGAACACAGAGTCCAATTTCTTTTCTGTGTGTAAGGAGCTAAAGAATAAACTCCTCATAACAGAAGAGTTCATGATACCGTAATGCAGCTGTTGTACAGCACTTTTAAGCTTAAAAAAAAAAAAAGTCATGTTTCTGAATTTGGGGTTTTCAGCTCCCTTTATTTGTACTTAACTGGCTAGTTCCCGCTGTGAGCTGTGCACACTCAGAGTATTGGAGTCTAGAGACACTGCAAGGTAGGGTGGAAGTACCACCTCTTTTGAATGGCAAGTAATACGGTGTTATCCCTTAGCCTGGCTGTCAGAAACCAGAGGTGTGAAGGGTGGATGTTCACACTAAACGGCTGGATCCGTTTTTTCCCTAGAGTAGCTCTCCATTTATCTTCATTGCTGAGTATTCCAGCCATTCTTACCATCTTTAGTGTCACAGAAAGTCCAGTTTGGTTATGATGTTATTTGGTGTTTCCATAAATAATGATGAGTGGGATCAGAACAGTCACCTTGTGCTTGTTTTTCTCTCTAGGCAGCGTAGAGGTACCTAGTCAGTTGTGAGACAGTATCCCCAGCTCATACCAGTTTCTGCAGGAGAGCTGTTGTTGCACAGCCTGACACAGGGCTGCAGCCTGAGAAGAGGTGAGTCACAGTAAAGCCAAAGGTGCTGCCCTGCGTAAATTAAAGCTCATCATGTACCAAGAGGTTGGAACTGAAGGCTTTTAAGTGAGGTTTACCCTTGAAAGACACTTCTCCCATTGTCAGAAAGATCCACTTCCCTGATGTACAGAGCTTTGTTGTATTCTGTATACAAAACTTGCATCATGTAGCTGCAGTAGTCATTGCCTGCATCAAAAGGAGAGATTCAGAACCTGAGTACAGATGGGCATTTAAAAGCAGGGGCTCTCCTGGCTTACAAGTATTGTCATCTGTAATGATCTGTTCCTAAAAACCAGCTCACATCTTATCAAAGGCCTCATTCAGTTTTGTTTCTTGCCAGAAGAGAGGCTAATTTATCTGAACAATCAGTTGTCAACCACTGATTTAGACAGCCCTGGAGGACTCTGAAGTGGATGTCTAAGAGCGGTGTGCGTGGAGAGGAACCTGCTGAGGCTCCCTTTAGTGCAAGTTGCTGTGGCAGAGCACATCAAGGAGTGCCCTTGTGAGTCTCCACGTTATCCCCTATCTGTTAATACTTTAGGAACTGAAATGGCTTTGTAGCACAACTTGCCCTAGGCTTCTATTTGGACAGCTGCCCCTGTGATATGGCTGGTCTCCTAAGGAGCCTGGAGGAAGATCATGCTAAATACTCTGAACTACCCAAATTTCTGGTGTGTTTGGCATTTTTTTTCTTTGACTAGACCTGTGCAGAATGAAGGCAGCTCAGAGTTGCAAAATGTGACTATTAGAGCCACTCTGAAGGCTCTAGGTGTGAATCACTCAGTTTCCAGCTGAAAAAGAATGGGAAGGTGGCATGTTTGCATGCAGTACTTCAGTTTAAAGAGGCTGTAGTTCTAACTTTAGCACAGCATACTCAACCTTTACTCATATTTCTACCGTGAACCCAGTTAATTTGACCCTGTGGCTTAAAAAGGTGACCTCTGTACCCTAAAGGTTATTTTTGGTTTCAGATGTTAATCCCAAGATCTTGATATTATATCCAGGAAGGTTGGGGGAAGAGTAATCTCTATGGGAAAGCAAACAAGCAGGAGCTGTTTTTTATAGATCTTAAATGAAACAGTTAAACAATAATGTGGTTTGGGAACTTGCAAACAAAGAAATGAGTAAGGACAAGAGGAATTCACAAATTGAAGACTGCTGACCAGTATGAGAGAGGAGATTAGGTACTGTAGATCAAGACTACAACAGCATCCTAGCATTGCCCTGTTGGCAACAACCTTGGCTTGTTGAGGGGTGAACCAACTGATATTCTTGGAAAATACTTGGGAAGTGGGACTAAAACTCCCTGAATTCTAGAGAATGCCCTAGTTGTAACCCAATCTGTCTTGAAGTTGTGCACATAGAATAGTGATCTTTCAGAAAGAGTTTCTGGGTGTTTTTGGAAATGATCGCAGCTGGAGATGCTGGTCCAGGTCTCAGCTCACCTGATTTCACTCATTATTTGTGCCACAGGCTTCCTGTGTATCCATGGTCAAAATCAATCTATCATTTGCACCTTATTTCTAACTCTTATCTTATGCAAGTAACTCTCACTTATTCCAGTCTTCTTCTGGGACAAGATCTCTTAGCTGTTCCTACAAAATATAGCACAGGAAGCCCTTACGTGCATGTATAATCCCAGTCCATATTGCCGTTTCCAGGGGTGATGGTTATTCTATTTCCTTCTGTCATGACCAAAGTCACCTTTTAAACCAGTAGCAGGACTGTGCTGACATATACTCCCACATGCTTTACTTGTTCTCAGTACAGTTTATCTCCAACTCCAACAAGGAGTGAAGTGTAAACAAACAGGAAAACACCCTTTTCAAACCAAAACCATTGTGTCCTCCTGACCAGTTTAGGCTCACTGCTTCCCACCAGGAAGCTGAGTCAGAAGCTCAGAGCTACTGTGACGACATGCAGGGCAGTACAAATCCTGACTGTTTTCTTCATACAGGAACTGTTTTCCAGCTCCATGGGAGAGATCTGAACGAGGGTTGAAGACAGCCTCAAGGACTGGGTGCAGTCTTCATTGCCTGTATGCTAGAGAGAATCTGCTTAATGCCAAGCATTACGAGGCGTTTCTCAAAGTGATATCCTGCCCTGCCAGAACCAAGACACCTTGTGGGGCTTAGAGGAGAGTTTCCTGCCACACCTTGGATTGTGCTGAATGCTGGTTGCTGCAAGATATGCCATGCTTATGGTTTACCACAGAGTTATGCAACACCTAGGCTTGCCAGCTAACTGAAAATCACTTTGCTGCAATTCAAAGTTTAATAAAAGCAGTTCCTGACAAGCTCAGGAACAAAATCATACCTCTAACTCCCAGTACTTCCCTGATTTTTTTTTTCCTGTTTCATTCAGCTGTGAAGATGCAAATACATCTGTGCAGATCTTGTAGCTAAAATCCAATCTTTCAGTTAGATCCCTCTCTCAGGTAAAGCTCTGTCTGAAGAGGACGCTGGTTGGTGGAAGCTCATAATTTCTACTTAGCCTTTTGGCCCACAGCTGCTGTTCTGATTAAAACATCAGCCCTGTGCCTCAAGATTTCCTTTGAACTATTAGTTCAGCACACAAGATATCAGTGTCTCTCAAAAGACTGACTTCTACAGTCTCACTTTAGAAAAGTAATTGCTCCCGGATTTGGTAATTTGTCCAGACATCAGGTGGAAACTACTGAATGTGAAAGGAAAGCCTAACTTGTGGGGGAAGGAAAAAAAAAAAAAGTTAAACTCGAGCCCTGGCTTCACCTGTTTCACTGCAAGTGCTTGTGGCTGCACTTTAAATAGTCCTGTAGTTGACATCCCTTCTCCTTTTAGAGTGGTAGAGTCTGGTTACAGGGAAGGGAAAGCAATGAAACTGGTCGTAGGCTGCTGTGTGGTCAGTCAGCTGCTTGTGCCCTGTTGTGGTAGCGTTACCTGGGACTCTGCAAACTTGCTGCAAAGATGTCACGGGTGAAAATTCCAGGTAGGTCTGAAAGCCAGAAGTGAAGCAAGGAGCCACAGATGCTGCAGGCTAACAAGCCTGCCCCGAGACTTTGATGGTGCAGTATCTTTGCAGTCTAGGGGACTTAGCTGGGTCTTTGAGGGTTTCTCTTCCTGCTCAGAGATATTTTTAGAGGATGCAGCAAAGAAATGGCAGTATTGTTTAAATCTTGTGTTCTGCTTGTACTGGAAAAAAAAAAAAAGTTCCTCCTGCAGTATCGTGGTATCACTAAATCATTGTAGAAGGAGTCAGAGGGATTTCAGGTGTCTGTAGTCAATCTGGCTGAGCTCAGGAGCTGTGGTGTGCTGCACCCAGGGTGTGGGGAACACAAGCTGGACATCAGGAGCAAGGCCAGCCAGGCCTCGCAGAGCCAAAGAGGGGCACATGACCACTTTTTCACAGCCCTGAAGAACATCAGCACCTAATAGGGCTGATATGAACATGTTTAGGTTTGCAGTGCTGTGCATTGTGATAGCCAATGTCCTGATAAGTTAAGCTAGCATTGAAGCTTGGCCCTGCAACATTAGGTGGAGTTTGTTGACCTTCCTGAGTGTAATTTTCATCCATTAAAGAGATGAAAGGTCAAACCAGGCATTTGTGGGATATGTAGTTTGCAAATGAATGCACAGAGTTCAAATGCCAGGAGAGCATGTTCTGCAGGTTGGACTTTGGGAAGTCAACAACTGGTGACTGATTCCAGGGCCCCGTCTGAATGATCAGGGGGCCGCAGGGAGAGGGGATGAGCAGGCACCCTCAGATGCTGGTGCCATCCTGTATGACCAGGAGCGAAGATCTATGCAATGCTGAGACAGCAATGTCTCAGCTGTCTGTTCCTGTTAGTGAATAACTGGAGATGTGCAAATAGTTGGCAGGTAGATGAAAGAGAAACTTAGCATCTGTGAAATGACCATCCTTAAAACACAAAGGATGGCAAATCATAGAAAAAACATAGCAAAGCAGCCCTGGTGCCCTGAGTCACTAAAATACTTGCTTTTTTGCTCAGGCAGGAGAATGCTGTTCTGCCCTCTTAACTTTGTTCCTGGGCTCTCAGGATGGTCTCTTCTGTGTCCCTGCCACTGGATATATGTGTAGAGAGAAACCTACCTAGATGGCAGGGTCTTACTTGATGACCGGATATCCGGTGGTTGCTTGCAGTGTTGACTGAGATGATCTAGGTTCTCCAAAATGCTGTTCCCCAGGCAGCTGCAGGGGACCCTCAAGCTTCCTGCAAGGCAGAAGCCGGATCACTTGAGGGCTGTCAGAGGGCTCTCAGGTTAGACTGGAATCTGCAATGTGGTTCATTCATGCAAAAAGCACCGAGGCGATGCTGTGGAACAGGCAGCACTGAATTTTCATCTTTATGTTGCACAGAGTGACAAATACTGTTTGTTCTTTTTTAAGTGGAAGGCTTTAGCTAAATTTGTACTTACTTTCCTAATCCCTTTTTAAACACTGATGTGATGATTAGGCGAAAAGGTTTAGATTTTGAAGGGCTGATCACATCTGTTTTTATTTTGTTTCTGCTTTATCTCAAACAGCAGAAGAGAAAGGTAAGTATTACTGAACTTCTTATATGCTCTGCTGCATTACTGACTGGACATGATCATTGGAAATGGACAGCAGTTATATGATCATGGTGATCTTTCAGCAGTTCAAGAAGACGCTATTTCTCCGCAGTGCCAGCTATGCCCCTCACTGTTTCATGGAGCGGTGCCAGCCTTTAGGTCTTTTGATATATGAGGCTGCTATTTGTTAAATATTGTCCGAGCACCCTGGAGCTCTTGTTTAGGAGATGAGCCTTGCTTAGGAGAGTTCTTTCCTCTATGGCAGGAGGAGAAACATTCTGCGATTTCCCTCACACTTGTTTTGTTTTATTTATATTTATTTGTTTTTTACAGAGGTCCACCCTAAAGCAACTTCTTTCGGATGCATCCTGTTTCTAGTGGATTCAATCCATGAAGGGACAGGTCCAATACTTCATATCCTTCATTCATCCCCTAGTATGATGCCCCTGTCATCTTATTTCTGTGGTGTGCTGGGGGGCATCTAAGCATGTTCCCAGCCCTCTGTGTGCAGCACAGGCCCTGTAAGCTTGTTTCAAAGGCTGGTGGGTGCTCAGAGTCTTCCAGGCAGAGTGGAGATGGAGATGCCATAAGGAAATGACAACTGAGCTCTAAGCTGGGTGTAAGGGGCACCTTCCTCTTTGGGTGGCTGGGAACCAGGTGCCTGCATGACCCTGCACCTTTTCCTTGCAGAGATGGATGATGCAATGCAGTCCTTTGCAGAGAAGGTCTTTGCTTCAGAAGTGAAAGATGAGGAGATCAGGCAGGAGATCTCACCTTTTGATGTGGAAGACATCTGCCCCATCTCACGCCAGGAAATGAGAGAGCACATAATACATCAGGAGAGCTCTGCCACAGCAGAAAAGCGGTGAGCAACAACCAGGGCAAGGGTGGGAAGAGAGAGGAGCAGTGTCTGCTCATCCCCAGCCAGATCTGGAAGACAGCAGGGGGAAGGTAATTCAGGGCCTGTGAAAAGAGCTCACCATGCACGGATTGGTTAAATCCGTGGTAGTCCCAGGGCATCTGCTGGGTGCTTCAGGGGCTCCTCTCCAGCTGTCCCCACTGTCCCCACACAAAGACAGCCCTTGCCTACCTGGGCACTGGCGCTACAATGGCTACAGGTTGTTGGAAAGGGAGACTTGGAGCTATTCCTCTGGAGCAAGCAGTGTGACTTCCGAAGACCATACTTGAAAGTCTGTGGCTACTTTTTCTGCTGTGGCCTCTGCTCTTGGCTGTGCCTGTCCCCACAGTTCTTGGAACCAGAGTTTAACAGTGCTCCTCAGGGTGCTGGGACGCAAATGTCCCTCTAGTGGAATGGGCATCAGGCTGGGCCTCGAGGCCTGCCTGGGTTTAGTTCCTTTTGCCTTTGTTGTCTCCCTTGGTAAGTCCTGACCCTACATGAGGAAAGGGGTTTGTGCCTAGCCCTGCAGCAGCAGGGCAGCAAGGGCTAAGGAGTATTAGATGCCCAGACAGTGGGGGCAATGCTGCACAGACCAAAGCGGGCACTGCAAGCCTGGCACTGAGTAGCTTAGGCTAATAGGTTGGTCTTAGTATGTGTTCAGCAGTCCCACCATGTCTGGGGAGAAGCTCAGGCTTTTAAGGTGCTCCGAAAGCACCGGTGAGACAAACCACGTTGTGCAGAATTGGCATGCAGCCGTGGTAAGCACCCCATGGCCCTGCTCCTGCATGCAACTGGGGGGCCAGGGCTGTTTGCCTGAGGCTTTCCTGCCTGACAGGAGGAAGCGCCTGCTCCGCCTGAAGACGATTGCACTGGCTGTCCCTGTGGCTCAGAAGTCGATGACCAGACTGTCCACTATTGACGAGGTCATCTCCACCTCCCCCCTGTACCAGACTGTGCCTGACTTCCAGCGGGTACAGATCACAGGGGATTACGCCTCTGGGGTAGGTACCAGCCTGGCTGTACGCTTCCCTGTGCTGACTGCCACATCATCTAGTCCCTGCCTATCCTTCACCAAGGCCTGGTGTCACCAGAGTCTGCACCAGGCACAGTGGGGAAAGCCTGTGTCTCCTAGTTCAGTCTGCACCCCACAAGCACCTGATGGTGCCCTGCTGCATCATGGAGGAACGCAAGCTGAATGCCTTGGCAGGAGTCTCTGGGATGCTGCATGCTTTCCAGGAGTTCTCTGAACCGGGCAGATGGGAGGAGAGGGCAGTGGGCTGTGTTCATTCTGTCACTGCCTGTTCCTGCCTGCATACCACCATGTCCGTCTGAGACCTGCACATCCTATGCTGACTCCTCCTCCCCCTCCTTTCCTCCTCCACAGCCTGTTGTGTTTATGCTGCTTGTGAGATGCTGCATGTCACAGGAGCAATTAGGGGAAGATGGAACTCTCCACGCACAGGCACAAGCACCTTCCTTCTGCCATGACTGTAGCTAGCTGCATTGCTGCATGGCATTATCCCATGCTGCCCCAGTCTGACCTCTCTGACTGCCCAAAACACTTGTCTGTGCAATAAATCAAAAATTCTTGACGTAGTGGGTCTGTGTATGTTGTTGGTCCTGTTTCAGTTTCAGCCTGGGCTCCAAAAATAGCTCCTCAAGTTCTAGCTTGGCCTGGCTTCCATTTCACTGCTGACTACAGCTTGAGGTGGGAAATGTAAGGGGGGATGACAGCTGGGATTCATTTGTTCTGGCTCCATGAACTTCTCTGTGCTTTGGCCAGGACTTGGCCCATCATCCCTTCTTTGCCCTGCTCAGCCAAAGCAGTGGGAGGGAGGAGATGGTGAGGTATATATCTCACTTTAAGCAGAGCTGCATCTCTTTGCATCCTGGTCTGCCAGGGTCTCTTTCAGGTGGCTAGGTTCCGGTTAGGTGGTTGCATTCAGCAACAACCCTCTTGCAGGTGACAGTTGAAGATTTTGAAGTTGTCTGCAAAGGTCTGTACCGTGCCCTGTGCATCCGAGAGAAATACATGCAAAAGTCTGTGCAGAGATTCCCCAGGACCCCATCTCAGTACCTGCGCACTATTGAAGGCGAGGTCTGGAGGGCAAGTGACACTGGTCCAGGTACATTCAGGCACCTGGGTTTTTTTTTCCAGCTTCAGCACAGGGCAGGCAGGGGTCAGAAAGGGGTTGTGGAAGTGCTACACAGGGGAGCTGCTTACTCAGGCATCCTTTTCACTATCACAGTGCAGGGCTGTCCCTGCCCTCTGCCTGGGGTGGAGGAGCATAGCAGGCATGTGTGGTCTTGGTGGGCAGCCTGTGCCTCTCCCTTTGCTCCAGTGTTCACCCCACCAGTGAAGGATGGACAGGATCCCTTTGCAACTGAGGATCTGGAGGAAGACCTGGGGTACCATGTCCAGATGAACGATGGGGTAGTTTACATCTACAGCGACAAGGCAGCAGCTGACAGAAATGAGCCAAAGGACCTCCCCTACCCCAGCCTCAAGCACTTCATTGATGACATGAACTTCCTCTTGGCTCTGATTGCACAGGGACCTGTGTAAGTGCCCAACCCTGCGCTGCTGGATGCAGCTAAACAGGCCTGCCTGGCCTGGCAGAGGGAGGAAATCAGGGTTGCCCTCTCCTCTTTCTTGGGGGAGGGAGGCACCCACTTGTCAGCCATCTCAACTGGCCCTGAGCAAGGTGAGTTTTTGAGGATTGGAGACCCCCCACTGCAGGTATGTTTACACTTGGCCAAGGTCTTCCTATGCAGCGCTGTGGTAGAACCAGAAGAAGCACCGCAGGCAGGCAGGCCAGGGCAGCATGAGCTCCTCTGCCTCCTGTGAAAGCAGCATTCCTGTGTGTGACCTGCCCTGTGCCTGTGAGGGATAAGGTGCCCAGTCACTGTTTTGCCCTTTGCTTTTACTAGCAAGACCTACGCTCACCGGCGCCTGAAGTTCCTCTCATCCAAGTTCCAGGTGCATGAGATGCTGAATGAGATGGAAGAAATGAAAGAGCTGAAGAACAACCCCCACCGGGACTTCTATAACTGCCGGAAGGTAAATGGCAGGGCTCATAGCTCTGGCGATTCTGGAGCCATGCTGTCTTGGTGCCTGCTCCCCCACGGGACAGGCGGATGTTTGTTGGATTCAGGATCTGTGGCACCTTCACCATTCCCACTTATGGGAAGGGGGTGGTCTGGGCTTCTTTTGGCCTATGCCCATGCTGGGGCGTGATCCCCACACAATTCAGGCAGGCTTACCCAAGGGGTTGGTTGGTTTCCCTTTGGCACCAAAGCATCCCATCTCAAAGCTGAACGGTTATTCCTCTGGCTTCTCAGGTAGACACACACATACATGCTGCAGCCTGCATGAACCAGAAGCACCTCCTGCGCTTCATTAAGAAGTCGTATTGTGTGGATGCTGACCGGGTCGTTTATGATGCCAAGGGCAAACAGCTCACCCTGAAACAGCTTTTCCAGCAGCTCAATCTGCACCCCTATGACCTGACAGTGGATTCCCTGGATGTCCATGCTGTAAGTGGTATGGCACCTACTGTAAAACCAGTCTTGGGTCTCCCTCATCCACCTCCTCTAGGCATGACTCTTCCCCTCCCTGGGCACATTGCCCATGTTGGTGTTTGTGGCAGGGTGTAGCAGCTCCTGTCTTTCCCTTTCTGGAGTGTTTGGATCAGTCCCTATCCTGCTGCTACCCTTGGACCCAGTGTGGGTTTGCAGTGTTTGTCCTTGATCCTCTGCGCTCCAGGGGCGGCAGACATTTCAGCGCTTTGACAAGTTCAATGCCAAATACAACCCCATGGGTGCCAGTGAGCTGCGTGACCTCTATCTGAAGACAGAGAACACGATCAATGGCGAGTACTTTGCTACCATCATCAAGGTGAGAATGAAGAGGAGGAGGCAGCAGCTCAGCTGTGGGGCTGTTGTGCTCCAGGGGCTGAAGGGTTTCCATGCCTCTGTCTGCCCTCTTGGTTTGCAGGAGGTTGGCTCTGATCTGGAGGATGCCAAGTACCAGCATGCAGAACCTCGACTCTCAATCTATGGGCGCTCAGCTGAGGAGTGGCCCAAGTTGGCCAGCTGGTTCAACAAACATCATGTCTATTCCCCCAACATGAAGTGGATGATCCAGATACCCAGGATTTAGTATGCGCTGCGGGTCTGGGAGAGCATTGTCCCTTAGAGTACACTGTGCCTAATTCTTTGTCCTGAGGGGATTAATTATGGAGAAAGCAGGCCACGTTGTTCCTCTGCTAGTGGCTAATTCCTGTCTCTGTCCACAGTGATGTGTTCAGGTCTAAGAACTTCCTCCCACACTTTGGGAAAATGCTGGAAAATATCTTTGTTCCTGTGTTTGAGGCAACCGTCAATCCTCAAGCCCACAAAGAGCTGAGTGTCTTTCTACGCCACGTGAGTGTTGCCTGACGATGTGGTCAGGGTGCAGTGAGCAGTGACGTTCCTGTTTGCACATGACCCATGGTGTTGCTCTGACATGGGAAATGTCAGTGGTGGGCTTGTGGCCCCCCCTCCCACATTATGGGAGGGGGGAAGGTGTCCAGGGGAAGCAGGTTCTGTGAGCTGGGCTGCTGTGAGGCTGTGAGAGATGCTGTCCACTTACCTCCTGGAGAGGTGGTTTGGTGCGAACTTTATTTCTATCTATTGATAGAGCTCTCTGCCCTGCTCAGGGATTCCCAAGGAGCAAAGACTGCCCTCTTGGCCCTGACTCTGCTCCTGGGTTAGGCAGGGTACAAGCTACGGCCAGACTACGGAGAGCTGTGTTGGATAGGGTGAGCCAGCCTGCCTGAGGACGCTGAGGTGGGGAGCTTTGAGACATGGCTTTTTTCTGTTGCTGTACCAAGCAGATCACTGGCTTTGACAGCGTGGATGATGAATCCAAGCACAGTGGACACATGTTCTCCACCAAAAGTCCAAAGCCAGAGGAGTGGACCTGTGAGAAGAACCCATCCTACACCTACTATGTGTACTATATGTATGCCAACATCCTGGTGCTTAACAACCTACGTAGGTGAGGGCCCAGGATCTTCTCAGGGACCTGCCTTACAGGTGGTGAAAGGGGGGGGGGGCTGCCCCATGAGTTGCCTTTGATTGTTTGATTGTTGGTGGGGCCCTCATTGCTCTACCACAAAGGTGGCTTGGAGCTTCGTGTCCCAGAGCAATTTCCAAACACTCCTTGGGGGAAGCGTGATGGACTGGAGTGAACACCTTGGAACTGCAGAGATAGCATTTACTGCAGGCACAAGGGAGAAAAGAAGTAACGTGCCTCTAGGCTCAAGCTGGGTTCTTTGAAGACCCACTGGTAGAGGTGGTGCAGGACTTGAAGCTGGGGGATTTCGGATTGCACGCCACATATCCCTGGTGCTCGCCTACTCTTCTCTTCCATGTGCCTAGGCAGCGTGGTATGAACACCTTCCTCTTCCGTCCACACTGTGGGGAAGCTGGGGCTATCACACACCTGCTTGCAGCCTTCATGACAGCAGATAATATCTCCCACGGCCTCAACCTCAAGAAGGTGAGTGGAAGAGCCTCCACCGAGCAGCCCAGGAGTGGCGGAGGAGGAGAACACGTCCATAGCCAGCCTCCACCGGAGCTGACAGTTACTTGTACCTCTGCTTTAGACTGATACTGACAGGCAGAGGTTACATGATTCCCTGGGCTTCCCCAGGCATGTCTGGGGATATAGCTGGGGAACGTGTCCAGATTTCCCAAAGTTTCAGCCTGATACACCTATCATTGGGTAGGTCTTGATCATTGGAGCCAGCTGAGGTCCGAAATCAGGCAGATTCAAATCACTTGGCCCCTCATACTCCACGTGGGCCCTGGAGGACCAGTAGCCTGCCTCTCCCTTTTCTTGCCAGATATGAGCTCTTTGCACCAGTTTTCCTGGCTGGGGACTAGGCTGTTCTCAAGAGCGAGCCTGGAGAGGTGAAGGGCACAGCAGCTTCACCTCTAACCTGACAGCTCTGCTCTCTTTTGCAGAGCCCAGTGTTGCAGTACCTGTACTTCCTTGCCCAAATTCCCATCGCTATGTCCCCGCTCAGCAATAACAGCCTCTTTCTGGAGTATGCAAAGAACCCATTGCCTGACTTCCACCAGAAGGGTCTCATGGTGTCCCTTTCTACCGATGACCCCATGCAGTTCCATTACACCAAGGTATGGCACGGGGGCATGGCCTCCTGGGGCCTGGAGCGCCTGGGCTTTACTTTTCGGCAGCATTTGCAGCAGGTTCAAGGTGCTGGCAATCTCAGGCCAGCCCCCACAGCAGCGTGGGCGGCGCGTGGTGCGGCGGGCCGCCTGCTAACGCCCGCTGTGCCGGCAGGAGCCCCTCATGGAGGAGTACGCCATCGCTGCCCAGGTCTTCAAGCTCAGCACCTGCGACATGTGCGAGATTGCCAGGAACAGCGGC